AGGTTCGCGTCGGAAAACAAGGAGCGGGGAGGCTGCGGGCCCGTCAACCGGCCAAAAACGGGCTGAAAGAAACGCCGAGAGGCTTCGGGGTGTGTCGGGGGTCGATCCTGTGTCATAGCACCAGCCCCTACACCCGCGGAAGGGTCGAGCAGGGCGCGGCTGGGGCTGGGGACAGCGGCACAGCTGAGGAACCGGACCGAGAGCACAGCAGCCAGCCCCCAGCCCTGCAGAGCACAGCTGGGACCCGTCCAGCAACTGATCTGAGCCCCGCTGCTCCCCCCAGCACGCTCAGGAGGGGGGGGAATCTCCTGGGGGGAGACACAGGCAGACTGTCTTTGGAAACGAACGCCAGGGAAAAGCTCTTCCACCCACCCTAGGGCAAGGGGCATTCCTCGCCTTGGAGTGTTACGGTCCCTCGTGGCCTCAGTTAGTTAAGCAGGTGATCAAAAAAATACAGAAAAGCAGCTTTATTTCTTGTTTCAAATATTACATGCACTTTCAAAAATTAAAACTCTTTATTTAAACATCTCAATAGCATCTTGTCAGTTTGGAGGAAGCAGAGAATAACAGACGTTTTGGAAAAGCACTTACAAAAATACATTGCACAAAGTCCTATCTTGCTTTTTTTAAAAATAAGTTAGTGTTATTCAAAATATTCCCACCCCAGCTACCCAATTTCAATTTATACAGGATAATTCTAATTTTAAATATGTAACCTGTAGTATGAAAACACCTGTACATGGGTCATCTAGTTCCTCTGCATAGGCCATAAGTTTGTCTGTAGCTCAAGTGAAAAAAGAAAGTTCTTCACCTAGAGACTTTTTTTAAACATTCGAGGACTGTTGTGCAACAAACATAACTCTTATTCAGAAAACCAGTCAGCAGTTCCATGTGTTAACAGTTCATGTGTAACTATAAAATGCATTATAATGGCAGGATAAAAAGTCTGTATAAGTACATTTCAGGAGTCCTTTCCGAAAAGGATCTGCAGAGTAGCAATCCTCACGGGGGCAAGAAGCAGTTTCATCTCATTCTACAGAAGCACTGCTTTTGAGAGCAAGACATCACTCTAGTCTTCTATCCACGTAGAGGCTTGTGGGATGAGCTAAAGAACACCCGTATAATCCAATCCAACAGTGCTGTGCAGAAGTCGCTCTCGTAAATGGGAAGTAGCAAGGCTGAGTTCAGTCCTGTTTTCCACATACTGCGTTCTCTCGGTGTAACAATGACTAGCTTAAGGAATTCTTGTCCCAAAGAGGTCAATTTTGGCAAATCAAGATTATGTAACTGCTGTATACTAATGTCCACTATTTAGCAGGCTTATAAGGTCCAGTCCAGTTAGTCAGGGCATCAAGGCCGATTTGGAATTAATGCCAAAGAACAAACTGGCCAAGTTGCTACGGTAAAATCCCTTAAAAGAGCTTCAGTTAATTAAAAGTTATCCCTGACTTTTGGAGCAATTCATGGTCACAAATTGCAGTAAAACATTCTCAGTCGCTGGTATTTAAACTAGTTTTGGTTTGTGTTAACTTTCCCTGACAGTAATAGCTATTATATTCAACATGTATCAAAGAAGCCCTTTTGGATCCACCAAAAAGGTCAAAATCAAGGGTCAACAGAAGGACACCTTTAGCCACAATCAAGTCTTTAAAATGTACTACAGTTTTTGGCTTATGGTGCCAAACTAACAGAAGTCCTGGATTTTTTAGCTCCAAGTTCCTAGTTACAGAACATGTGGTTTATTCTTTAAAAAAAAAAACAACCCCATACATTCATTTGTAATCAAATAGGTGTCACCTGTTTGCCAGCTGGGCTTTATTAACCAGAGTAGTTTACATGCATTATTTCTCTCAGCATGGACACAAAAAACAGAAAGCTAATGACAATTGCAACTTGAGCATTAGAGCAACGAAAAATTATTTTTCAACAGTTCTGCTGACAGTCTTCGGCCTTTATCAGAAGAAACCAATAGTTCTGTAGTATACATCTTGCATCGTTGTCCTTTAAAAATTCCAGTGTTGTAGGTTTCCGGTATATACAAATTGAAAATAAAATGTGCAACAAAAAAAAAAACAACAAACCAAGCTGTAGTGTAGCAGATTATTCGGCAGGTTTCCCGTGCACTCTGAACCGGTACAGGCATGTATAGGCTGCATGTCCCCAGTTAGAAAGAATTCTCAGTTCCACTATTTGGAATGCTTTTTCATTTTTCTCCTAGAGAAGGAAAAAGCAAACACAGAAATCAGAGTTAAGTTTCTCACAGAAACAGGTGCAACTGAAGTCACTTTCTTTCTTTAGATTCCTGCAACTACCAACTTTTATTAATAACTAAGTCATGCCTTGGGAACTTTCTGACACTTTGAACAGAACCTTCCTTGCCTTACTGCTAGTTATTTGTGTAGAGAGTCAGAAGCAGCATGAAGCAGACTCTTCATATGTTTAGGACCTTCACACCATTTGTATCCAGATGGTACAAGGCCTTTTTCCTTCACTGCTCATCATGTGCTACCATAGGAAATAGGAGTATCCTTCTCCTGACTCTTTACATCTTATCAAGACTTACCATCACTGGAAACACCTGCAGTGGTTCTCCGTCGTGATCATAGACATACTGTCCTAAAAGCTTGCCTTCTGCTTGAGATTCATCATCTAGACCCTAGAACAAAAGGATAGAGATTTTTGCTGCTGCCAAATTTGAAATCAAACCAAAACCAGAAGCATGTCTACATAACTGAGTATCAAGAGACAGCATTCAGAAGTCTGTCAGACCAGGATGAAATGTTTCCCATGTAACTTAGTGCTTGTTCAGGCACAGCACTGGATAGGAGCTTCCTGCACTGCCAGTAGCTGTGCTATGTTGATATGTTTTCATGGCAAAACCACTATCAATGTACAATATAAACTGCTCAGGACAAACCAGAATGAGAAAACATCAAGCTTCTGAACAAGAGTGAAGGAAAGATTATGAGCAAGACTGAAGTAAAGATTGAGATGCTTGCAGATGACTGCTTAAGCATTTCAAATAACTAGACAAAAAGTTCTCAGAGATCACAACCGTCCTCTAATGTAGCCCGTGGTCTTCTGTTCTGCAATCATACCTACACAACTGTGGTGCTAGTTAAAATACAGGCAGAAAAATATTTAAGGCACATCCTAGATAAGGTGAAGAGCCAAAATCGGGGGGGAAGGGGGAAGAGTGGAGGAGGAAGGATGGAACAATTACGGTGTATGAAAGAACTATACCAAATAAAAACCCATCACCTCCCTCCGAAAATGGTTACTACTGCATAAAGCAAGAGAGAAGAAACAACTCCCCCTAAATTAGATTTTAAGAGCAATGACTGAAACAGCTTATCTTCTTAGCTGTCCTCCTGCAAGTACTTATTTTCCAAGATATGTAACACAAATATTCTTTATGCATACAAAAATCAACTTAAGTTCAGAGACAGACTTACATATACTGAAAAATTCCTAGGAGCACTTGTGATAGTTCCGGTTGGTGAAAGTGTTTTTGGTATGTGTTCCATTGTAAAAGCAGTTGGATAGATGTTCATTGAAAGTCGAATTACAAGATACCCCTGTGATCCTTTGAAAGCCCAGCAGTTTCCTGGATACACGTCCGGCTAGACAGGAGGAAGGGAGAGAGAACAGGAGGGGACACAACAAGTTAACAACAACCACAAGTGTTTTGTAATTATTTTTTTTGTAATAAAGAGTTGTGATGAATTTGGAATTATTAGGGACACTCTTAGATAGTAAGTGGCAGAATATAATCTGTTTGCTAGAACTCTCCAGGAAGACAGCATATCCACCTAAACCACCAGAAGTGTTTTGAAGACCCACCTTGAGATGACTTCTCAACGGGAACCCTCCCAGTGCTCACACTTCGTAGAAATCCAATGCTCCACCCAAACCTCCAATAAAGGTTTTAATTTTGCTAGAGTAGGACTTCAGCAGTGCCCAGGAACTAACAGAAGAACCCCACTCTTGGGAACATAGTTCTAACTACATGTGCCCCCCAATGTATTAGACAAACATCCAGCATCCAAACACCAATCCCAATCACTCAACACAAAACAACATTACTGAATTTGTTTACTTGGCCTTTCATTACCTGAATCACCACTCTGGGAGACTGAGAGAAGTACCACAGAGGAATTCCAAAGATGCTAATTAATGCTGTTTTGGTCTCATAGGTTTCAGAACAGCGAGTACTCAGTACACTGCCACCTAAAAAAAGATGATATATAATGTTAGCAGAAATAATTATTAATTTCTTCCTGAAGACTTCTAAGGCAGATTTGTACAAAGCTTAATGAATATACTGGTTATTTTCCTCAGAAAAAATAACTATTAAAGATATTGTTAAAGTCTAATAATTTCCTGGGGATAGAATGCTTCAATGAAGTACAACGTTATTTTAAGGACACATTAAAGGTTTTAGATTTAAGAGGGCTGGAAACCACACATTTTTCCCTAGCAAGTCCAGTGTGTGTACCCCCCCTCCCCCCCACACCTGTGGTTCTCCCTTATCCAGTTGGACACATGCACAGAACAACTAGTCCACCCCGTCCATGCACACCCAAGCTGATATAGAAGCCTGTCTACAACACATAGATTGCAGTAGTCTGATGATCAGGCAACATACAAGGATGCTCTACTAACCTTTAGTTCGCATTTTAAGATTTTTAGTAAATACTATAAATAACAGAAATCGTAAAAATGGCATTTCCTCTATTTACCTCCAGATTCCAGGGCAAAATCGACCATACCAGTCTTGTCTTGAGAGTAGAGTTTCAGTGCGTTGTTTACAATAATCTGTGCTTGCTACAAATGTACACATAGAAGAGTAGAATGGAAAGATTTTAATAGTACCAAGTGATAGAATAATTGAAATACACACATCTCTGAAGCTGCAAGCATCTTTTTGAGATGCCGCATTCCATCACAAGTCTTTGAAAGCCTCTGTCAAGACAGAGGCCATTTTTAATGCATGGTCATCTGTCTTAAAATACAAATTCACACTGCATCTTGACTGGTGTTCTCTTCAAAAATTGTATCTTTCCCCCACCTTCCCAAGACCCTGAGCTGTGTTTCTTTGCTATACTTGTTTCTAGGGAATTCTTCAATTTTCAAGATAGCATACTTTCAAAAAACACAACGTTCACAACAGGCAACAAGCACTGCTGTAAGAATACGCTTGATAAAAGCATTTTCTGTAGTTCTCCCCATTTCAATTAATGTTCCTGACATCTTAAAATCATTAACGTTTATATTGACAGCCATTCTCCAAAAAATGCCTATAAAAGGACTCTCTACAGCTTTACTTGAACTTTGGAGAACTTAAACTCACCGCTTCTGTGATTCCAGAAACGCCTGCATTAGTCACAGCATTTGTTACTACCTCTGAAGTTATTTTTTGGTTTGTAACAGATGTATGGAGAGTAATATCCTTGAGGATCCGCAACTCTAGATCCCGCAATAAAGTCTGTAAGTCACTTCTGGTCACAAAATTGGATGTAAGCCATTGGTGAAGCGATTCAGGAGAGTCTTTTTGTTGATCACCAAAAACCACCAGTTTGACGTATTCTCTGACCTGGGCGCCCACCTAGTAGAGTTCATTAACAATTGCAATAGAAATTATTAGTCTTTTTAAACTATTATGTAATACTATGTACTTATATTTATAGTATATTTTAGTAAATATACTATATATTTATATACATAAAACAGGCTCATGTGAAATCAATGCATACATTCAGTACCACGCAGAAGTCTGGCTTTCACGTGTGTTTGAACGACATTTACTGACACTGTAATAACAGACCAGTCAGGCGTGCAGAAGAACGCACGGGAAATCTGGGTACTTCATTGGCTTGGTGAACAAGACCCACCTAACAAAGCCCTGGCAAACCATGCACTTTACATTAGTGGTCTAACACTTCAGAATAAAAAAAAACAAAACACTTGACAGCAACAGTTCAAAAGGAACCATGGCAAGTCTAAGGGGAGCAGCGTACTTGTTAGGGCTAGCTAAGCAAGTCCTTTCATCCCTCACTTACCGTATGCTTTGATTCCATACACAGTAGCTAGATCATATTTGAGCATTATCACAAAACGGTATTTTAGTCAGCTGATAATCCCCTATCAATAATTACTTTTGTATTATGTTGGCTACATTCTAGCCAGACCTTACAAAAGCCTTCAAAACAACTTATGCATGAGTTTTAAAAACAAGTCTCAGACAACAAACCTGACCTGCTTTTACATATGTTTCTTTTCCACATTTCCATGGGTTAGCAAAATACATCCGTAAGAAAAGCAAAGTTCTGTATACAGAACTGCTGTTGCATTGTATCTTAAATGCAACAAACTATGCCATTGTAGAAACAAAAGCCATAAACTCTTGTCTAGTAAATTGTTAAACACTCATGGAAAAATTTGCAGTATCACTAACCAAAGTACCCCCAATTCTTTAAGATAAATACTACCCCCATGTTACTTATTGCAGTGCATTTCAAGAAAGTTAGTGAACAAAATCAACAGTACCAAGTTTTACTGGAACAGTTTCAGAAATTACAGACCTGCTTTTTGATGAATGACATCTATTTTCTCACAACTCCTCTTGACACTTACCCCAGTTAACAGTTCTGATTTCATCTGAGACAACTCTAGTTCTAGCTTTTCAACTTTGGACAAAAGTTGAGTATGTTCATCATAATCTCTGTCAAAAACAAAGAGTCAATAATTAGGAGAGAGTAGTTTCAACCATTCCATCAAATTCCAAAGGTGTGAGAATGTACTCGTCTAATACAAAAGTGCTTTCCTAGTTCAGTTATTCACCATGACAGACATTGTGAGCATGCAGTTCCTTGAAGATGTTATTTAAGGCATACTTAGGATTAATATAGTCAAAGCACAGTATTTGCAAGTTGTGAACAAATCCAGCAGTCATGACTTTAGAACCTAGGCTGACAATAACTCAAACATATGTAGATTTTGGGGAATTAAAGGTTTCTGGCAAACCAGTCAAATTTTATTTGCATGACTTTGCCCTGGTTAGAGCAAGCTTCAGGTTACCTTACTTAAACCAGAATAACTTTAGAAGCAGGTGTCAAGTTGAGCCTAAGTAGCAGGTCACATACAACCAACATAGATCAGTGTTCAGGGCATGCTATGGGAAAAAGTATCAGCCATCATTCTAAAGCCATTTTACATTTTGATCTAATTTAAATGACTATTCAGGAAATAAGTGGGTTTTTTTCCTCTTCCCAATGGGAAAACTACTTAGTGTAATGGTATTACACAATACACGAGTGGAAAGTAATAAAACTGACAAACCAAAAACAGATGAAGGTTAGAATTGATATAATTCAAAAATTTAAATACAAAGCCTAACAAAAGCAGTTACCATGTACTTCACTAGGCAACTTGAGGAAAAATTCTAATGCATTTCTAAGAGGATGAGAAGTCACTCATTCTCCTCCACTTTCTCTAGTAAAACTGTAGTTGTATGATTGCTCACATACTGGCAGTGGGCCCTCTGCTGATGTTCAGCATCACAGTTACAGTCTACTACAAGACAGAAGTACTCTTGCTGACAATACAAACCCTTAAGGTCAGTTAACCGACACGAAGAAAAGGGTTGTGTTTCAGAGAAGAACATGTATATCACCATCAGTTAGCACCAGGATTGAAAAAGCAAAATGTATTTGAAAAGTGCTTATACCTCACTGTTTTTCCTTTGGTTATGTCAAGCTCCTTCTGGATGTCCTAAAAAAATAAAAAAGTTAATTTTAATGTATACGAAGAAACACAAGTGACAGAAAGAGGATATAGAACGTTATGAAAACGACAGATTTTAGCATCACCTATACAGGACTGTGTCCCCACATTTATGTTTGTGCCTCTGTACAACAAGATTTTATTCCACATAGGAACTGCCTCACTGGTCAACTGAATAACTTCTAATCTTTGGACTGAAACCCCCTCCAAGAAGGGGGAATAATAACACAAACAAGTTTTGAGACCTAGAGTAAAGCAAACTGGAGTTTGGGATAGCCAACAAAAAAACCTTATTTTATCAATGGGTTACACTTAGAGCGAGTTAGCAAAGCTAACTTTCAATACCTTAGATTCACTAGAGAGTTTTCGAAGAAGGTCTTCCAGCGTCACGAAGCGCAACTCATATTCTTCATGTAAAGCCAGGATGTCAGTCTTGAAAAACAGGGAAGAATACAGTGTATTTTCTTCTGGAGCACAAATAACATAATTGGTATTTTCTGCAAAGCATAATTTTTATTCTTTCTATGAATGCTTAAGTGATTTATCCTGTGGGTAGTGTGAGAAATTATAGAATCTGTAATAAATACCAAGGTCTGATTTAGCAGTAGCAGGGGTTATACACAGACAAGGAGAAGTTTACCACAACTTCTTTGTTGCTAGTCCTTCCTATAGCCTTTTTTCTCTGTATGAAAACAGGATAAATTCAGCTGCTTTTCAGCAATACCAGAGTCTACTTTAGACCACCTATCTGGAATTAAGTCTTTGTCAGCACTAACAACGGAGAAAAAAATGCCAGCTTCCTGGCATTTACTACCTATCAGTTAATTGTGTAACAGAAGAAAAATCCTAAAGTCAAATTGCTAAAAATCTGCATTATTAAAACAGAATACTTTGGTCAGTATCAGAAAGCATCAATAACTGACTCTTACTTTTCCCTTCTCTTTCATATCCTTAAGAAGAGGTCCCATCACATTTTCTATTAGCTTCAATGCTTCACTTTTGTCACTCATCTCGATAATCTGATCTTGAAGATTACGGACTAGAAGCATCAGTTTGCTACATTCTTCATGATGGTGTCGGTATCTCTCAGAGAGGAAGGCCACTTGCTTTTCCAGCTTGCTTATACGACCAGTATCAAAGATGTTTACAGCATCCTAAGGTATAAAGATTTTAATATATAAAAATCAAGACATTTATTTACAACACCCTTGTCTATCAAGTAGTTATTGCAAAATATTGAAGAAATAGGAGTTAAGAAGTCTTAAAAGATAGGAAAGTTCTTTCCTATACTGTTCTCCCTTACCTTTGGAGGTTGCACAGATGGAAAAGAATCAGTCTGATGTTCATGAACATGAACAAAGCCGTTTGTTCTCTGTGTTGTATCAATTATTGTCCAGTTCAGTGAAGGTAACAATGAAACTAAGCCATCAAAGCCCCAGAACCATATACCTATATTAGAAACAAAACCCAAAAAGAATGTTCAAGAGAATTCTCTCTTAAGACTGCTTATATCCACAAATCATCTTCTTAATAAAGGACTCAAGCTACCGTAGATTTGCAAGGTAGATGTCACACCGTGGACCCTACTCCAGTCCAAATAAAAATCAGCATGAGCCAGCTTTAAAATTAAGTCAAGCACTCAACGTCAGGCAACATTCATCAGTACCACTCACACAGCTGTAAAGCATGCAACTTGCACTTAAGATATCATGATACATCCTTAATCTCATACTACTGCTGCTTCCCTGGGACCTAGATCTCATTTACTGATTAAGAGAGGCCATGCTCACTGAAGGCAGATGTAAATGCTGCTCTTTACCTCAAAAACAAATATCTTGCCTTATATCCTACTTCCTACATACCACATCATTTCCCTGGAAGCCCAAGTTTCCTCCAACTTTTATTAGGTATTGCCCAATCTAGCATTTCACAAAGATTACACTTATTTTTGCAATATATTAATGAGAAGTAGCAGCATTTTCTACACAGGGAAACTTCTTTTCTTATTCTCCCTAGTACAGAGGATTTTAAATCCCCACTAGGTTTGAGAAGCTTCATCTTCTCCCCAAATAGCTACAAGTTTTTTAGGACACACAAAGACATGAAACTGCTTTTCAGAAATGGTCCAGCTCTTTCAGGAAATATTCTAAACTGAGTTTGTTTATTAAAAGCAGACAGCTGGCCTGGACTACTGTCAACTGACTAGGCTAAATAGCAGTATTTTAAGCAATTAAAGCATGGTCTAGAGCAAAGGAAAGACAGGGTGAGCCGGTAAAAGAACTTAACCACACTTGTATGGAGACCAACACCAATCAAAGCAATCAGTATGCAGCCTACTTTTTATGAGCTCATTGCTATTCCGATGAAGGGAGGTAAAGAAAAAAAGGACTTATGACACTAAATCAAGGGTATTCCTTTCATGGCAAGGGGAAAGCAGTTAGACACTGGGAACAGGTTGCCCAGGGAAGCTGTGGATGCCCCATCCCTGGGGGGGTTCAAGGCCAGGCTGGATGAGGCTTTGAGCAACCTGGGCTAGTGGGAGGTGTACCTGCCCATGGTAGGGGATTGGATCTCTATGATATTTAAGGTCCCCTCCAACCCAAACGGTCCTTGGGAGTATCCTGGGAGGGTCCTGGGATTCGTACTTTGAAAGCTTGAATTACTGCCCTGTTCACAAACAAACTTGCTCTTTTTTACTTCTGCATCTTATTCATAAACAAAAGCTCAAGTAAAAATGCTGTTTTGGAACAGCTGTAGTAAGAATACACAGATTTGTATTATAACTAAACAATTCACATACCGAGCAGAAGCGGGAGTATGATCAACAGTAACAGAAGAAGGCACCTAGAGAAAAAGAGAGGGAAGTTTGCAAGAAAAAATATATTTATCATATTTTATTGTTTTATAACAGTAAATAATTTGCTCACAAAACTTTTTTTTCAGAGGATACACACCTTCTTAGAAGAGGGGCCTTGAGCACAGACATCAGAGAAATTACACCCCATTCAAGCAGCCTGGATATGCCAGAAGCTGCCCTCCCTAGAAGACAAAAAAGTGGTAGTGTGCAATGTCATTACTGCAGCACGTGTCCAAAGAAACCAAGCAGAGGGACATGCGACTGTGGCCAAGAACACTTTGCACAGCAGAGAAATGCATGAGTACAGGTGAGGCATGCAGCTTATTAACATCTAGATATCACAAGTAGCATTATGACATCAGCTACTCAACAAAACCAGCAGCCATGCAAAAAGATGAAATGCTCATTGTTATAACAATGCTATCTTGACAGGAATTCAGTGTTTGAATTCAAGTTACTATATGCTGAAAACCTGTGTTTCGAGAAACGCACAGATTAGCAACATCAGTTTTTGCTAAAAAGAATACCGTGATAGCAAGTGACTACCAAACCAAACCAACCCCATTATTCTCAACACCCCATATTCTATACTATTCACAACTCATTCTCTCATGAAACGGTCTGGTTAGTCTCCCATTATGCCTGTGAACAGAAATATACCCTCTCATTAAGCATATTTTGGTCAATAAAGAAAGTAAAGTAGCACATGCATTTCAAGATACAAAAGCTACAGCACAAGCATAGTTGAATTAGTGTAAGCCACATACTGCAGATTCCTAGTTTGTCAAAAGGAGCAGGCAATGCACGTGCACACACGGATTAGGATAGTAACCTGGAGAAAGAATGGCCAGCCAAAGTAGAGACAACACCTTCTGAGACACAAGCCATCCCGCTGCTCCAACTGTTCGCAATATGTGAAGCATAAAGTAACCTAGATTATAACAAATTAACTCTATGTTGTAACATACATAAATGAGACGAAGGTTCTTTTGCAGAACATGCAGTAAAACACACTCAATCCCCTGCCCACTACATGTTCTGCATAATTTTAAACCATACCTTTCAATAATCTACAAACTTGGTTCTTCACCATTTAAAAGCAAAGCAAGCCACTAATAAATATGAATCCAAGTAAAACCAAGACAATTTAGAAACAGAATTCTCAGGTATAGAGATAAACAGAAGGATCAACAGCATGTGTGCATTTAGAACATCACTTTTTCAAATCAACAAAGTTTACATTGTGTAGCATGTTTATGTAACAATGCCATGCTAAGGATAACAGAATAGCGAAGAAGTACTACCATAAAAACAAGTTCTGAGCACATCATTACTTTAAAAGCATCTTATTTGTTCTGAATTACACATCAAGTTTGTTATCTAGGTTCATGTGAGACAAGAGGGAACAATTGAAAATTTTAAGTCCTAGTGAAGGAATTAAATAATGATGTCTAAGAAATGCTGATAAATAATAGAAAATATTCCCTAGCAGAAGTTAGAAGCAGTAAATTTTCATTAAACTGAATGTTCCCAAGGATCTTCAGTATGTCAGTTTTGAGTCTCTTAAAAAGAATAAAATCAACAACAAAACCCCCCACAAAGCACTGCAACAAAATGCTGTAGCTTAAAGTCCACCGAAGCCAAAAATTACTACATCCAAGACTAGGACTGCTCGTTCTACAAAACAAACTACATAGTATACATTTAGAAAATAATCCTACATTTTTAGATTAGCAGATATGTCTTGGTTAATCTGACGGATTATAGATATACCAACCCAATATTTTGCAAAGCATTTAGGTGACTGAAGTGTCATTTTCCTTTGCTGAATAAAGAGCACTCAACACATTCTTGATGTCTCTGTCATTCAAGCTAGGGAACGCTCATCTCACAGGGAAGATTCTATCCCTATATAAGATTCCTGTAAGAATTGACTATCACTAAAACAAAAATAAAATGTTAAAACCCCTTCATCAAATAATCTGCATACCAATACCTCATACCTTGCTTTCATTTAAAGGCAGCTTTTCAACTACTGAGTGTACAGACTTCCCCAAAGTGCAATAAATTAACAATCTGACTTATTTTTTGTAACATACAAGGTGTATGCTGTCCCTACACCTTATTTTTACTGATAGGTAAGCAGTCTGCCAAGCTTGTGCAAAAGCCAGTATCAGAGCAAGAAGTCAAACAGGAAAGGTGTTAAGTAAGTTAATTTTCTAGACTCTTTACACCTTTAATCTACTTTCATAGATGAAGGTAAAAAAAAAAAATCAAACACAAAACAGTATGTATGATTAACATTGTGAAATTGTGATAAAAATAAAAGCAAAAGAAAAAAGGTCCAAGTCAACCTGCATAAGAAAAGGTGTGCCAAATGGTCCTTGCTACCCTTTTAGCCCATGAGGATTGCATGTGGTCTGTGGTGTGTATTTGAAGATGTTTCTTCCCCTTACAGTCATCACCTGTTGGTTGTGGTAACAGTCAATTAATTGGACAAAGCCGGGATGAAATCAAGATTGTTACAAGGTAAGTTGAACAAGTCTATTTCATAATCAGTTATCAAACCAAAAACTACTAAGCAAACTTCAGTGGAACAAAACTTGCTTAGGGAAGTATTACAGTACGCCAGGCACCCCCCCCCCCCCCTACAGCTAAGCAGCAAAACAAACATTTACTTTGTAGATTCCACAGAGTCGTGGGGCATCTGACTATTATAGCAACAACCTGGTGTACAGCCCAAGGCTAAAAGACAACACCAACCATTCTACTTACATATTGATTCCTCATTTCCACCAAAATGGCTATCTTCTCTGTAAAATTCTTTTACATTCATTCTTCCACAGTAGTCTGAGTGAGCTGCACACATTCAAAAAGCATACATGGAAATAACTCTCAAGTTCAAAGCCTTTCATATATGCACATTTTGGCAATCATATATGCAGATTTGAGCTAAACTGGCTTGGTTCATTATTAAAGCCAGGTTACTCACAGGAAACCTGAAAAATTATCAAGGAAAGAAGCCTAATCTGTGCCATTTTTTTTTCTTCTTTAAATAAACAGAGGGCCTTTTCATTCAAAAGTCTTTCTGCTTCTTTTCAGCTAGCCAAGTTAGTAAAAAAGCCCCTAAGTAACAGCTCATCAAATCCTGAGTCCCTATTCCCATCATTCTGTCGAACAGGCCAACCATTACATCTTTGCGCTGGTTTTACCAGAGATCTTGAAAGACTGAGAAGAGAGCACTAGCAATTTATAAGGCACCAAGGCAGAGAGAACAGGAGAGAACAAAGTGTTATTCACACACAAAAATCAGTTACCTGCTGCCTATGGCAATTAACTTAACTTGTAGAGCGTGTATTATAGAACAGAAAGCACCGAAGAAGAATTTAACATTTTCAGGGAAAGCAAGATGTTCTGTATGTAGAGCAGTGCAGAGTGATGATGGCAGTTTTAGTTTTGCAAGACAGATCTACTCGAGCTTTAAGTGCACAGTGGGCTCAAGGGAAACAAGATAGTCCACACCTACAGACATTGAAGAGTTCGGATTTGACACTATCACATCAAACAGGTTTTTTAAATCAAGTTTCTCAATTTAAACATTACCTTCCACCACTTCCTAGTAAAAATCAACACATGAATCTTAACTGTAACACAGATCTCACATATGTGAATCATGATATTTCCAAAACAGGCAGAAAGTGTTAAAAGGGTAGCACAACTGAGATAAAAGGAAGAAAGAAAGGAGCCAGCCAAAAGACTATAGAAAAAAGAACACCGTAGTGCCAAAGACAAAGTCTGTAAGAAAGACACCAACACACACATTCTGGCTTTGTGTGGAGACCAAGGAAGACAACTGAAAAGGTACCTTTAAATTCATAACCCAGCTTCAGCAAAACCATTTGAAATAGTTGCACTAATAGTGATGCAAAAGATGCTGTAGTATGTTTGACCAATCGCAGAATCTTACTCATGTAGAAATAGGTTCCTCCTATTAAGAAAAACAGTGTGAATACAAATTATTCACCTACATAAACATGTACTTGTATTCTCTGGTGATCATTAGCTTGTGGAAGAGTGAGGACGAAGAATGGGAAGCCTTTGTTTAGCCAGGAGTATGAAACTTCAGCAAGCAGGGTTTGAAAAGTCTGGGTGTGCTAGATATTACAGAAAAGCTTTTTTTAAGAACTATACATCCTAGGGAAAGCAACTTCAAGACAGAATGTATGACTTCAGCAAGAATATCTTTTCTTCATGAGAATTAAGAACTCTAAATAGCAATGAATTCTTTGCTTTGAGAACTCAAGATTTCTCAATGATGTGATCTGTTGATACTGATTTTGTGGGTCACAACTCCAAAGAGACAAACTACATTCTGAAAAGGTGAGGACTTTTCACCTTCTTTTCTGTCTTTACATTAGAGGAAGCTACTGCAGTGGTCTACCTCAAGTGCTAGAGACACACACTTCTTCAGAGCCTTGGGAACAAAGCTGCAGCTGTGGTCCTAGAATCAACATTCCAAAAACCTGCCATGACTGTGTGCCCCTTCCTCTGCCCTTCCCAAGTTTAGGTTAAACTACTGGATTAAAGTTCAAAGGAATGTACAAAGATGAGTTCCTTGTAAAATTCTCCTGTGTGAATACAGGCTCAGGAGAACAAAAACCCAGTTTTCTTACAATGTTGCTTTTAATTCATTATGCTAAGCCAATAGAATTGCTACTTGGGCAACACATTTACAAAAAAGAAATATTTTCCTCAAAGCATTTAAGTTGCACCTTGTAGTTCAAACAAACTGATTTCCTGCTACTGAACACATACTTCATTCAAGAACACCACACCTATGGAAACCCAAAATTGGTTTCTTTCTAATTCAAGGCCACTGAAGAAACAACTTCTTCACAACAACTGAGGATTATCAATAATCAAGAAACCTATCCAAGAGGCAGGCAGACACAGTCAAGATACTGAGGACAGCCATATATAGAATGGACATTGCCCTGGAAAGGCAGAACCTTATTTACAGCAGATTCATTTGGTTTTGAGCTTTAGGAATGTAGTCCCTAGAAAGTCTATTTGGAATCAGTTTTTCCCTTTGGAGTTCAATTTTTCAAGTAGTTGAAGTTTACCCTCTAAAAACACTCTACTAAGCTGCAAGGTTAAATAAAGAGAAAAAAAAATATGCAGAAAGCAGGAAGGTATCACTCAGACTTCTTGGATAACAGAAGCACTGCAAAGTAACAATTCTGCTCAATCTTGAAAGTTCCTGTAAGGAAAAAAACATAATAACTGGACCGCGTAAAGAAATTTTCTATCTGAAAACCCTGACCAAAAACATTGTAAACAGGCACACACTGATCCGATAACAGATTAGGAGACTCTTATGATCATTGCTGGTTGGATTGGCCTATTATGTTCCAAATCAGTTTGGAAATATAACTTAAGATATTATGGCATTTTCATTTTGAAATTGTTTAATCCCTACAGCAGCACTGAAAAAAAAAAGTTGATAATTATATATCAGAAGCTGACAAGTACATAAAGTTTCAAACTGACATAGAAAAAAGTATTTCATATAAGCTGATCTCTACAGTTTAGTCATTGGTAAATTCAGCAAGGTAGGAAAAGTGCTTCAATAACACTACAAGGAAAACACATCAACTAATTTGGATAACAGAATGTTATACAGTTAAAACACAAGAAAGAGTAACCTACTGGATGCATGTCTCTGGCTCCTGTCCCTAGAGTAAATTCTAGCAGGTGGCACAGGAGAAGCCGAATATGCTGTAAGAACATCGTTCTGTTCAGAAAGCACACTACAGTCGCTGCAAGTGTAGCCATTGAACCTGTTGGCCTGTGATCCTGCTGCTGCCATCTCACCATTTCCTGGCATCGGCGTAGTACCACTACCTAGCAAACCAAAAGTAAATTATTTAGTGCACTGATTTCCAGTATTGCCACCATTAGTTACCATTAACTAGAATGCATGTGGAAGGAAAAATAAAGTGTGGTTACCTTTAGGGTCGCCTTCATCATCAAGACCTTCAAAAGAGAAAAAAGAAAATTTAGTCCCAAATACAAGTAAGTCCCATAACCAACCACAATATCTGACATGAACTCAAATTTTAAGTCCCACTAATTTTAAGACTGCAAAGAAAAGCCACTTTATGATAAGTTTTTAACATATTCTGCAGTCCACTACATGAATATATCCATATATTCAGACATTAATGCAGTAGGGTAACAGTTAGTGAAAGCACTCTACCATGGAAGCAGCAGACAAAATAATATGAATGACAACTACACCTTTTCTTAGCTCCCATGTGACCTTAAAGCAGCTAATTACAAGCTGACGCTGTTTCTGTTGCTTGGTAACTACTCTGGTACTACTGCATTTTAAGATCCTGTTTTAAGAGGCAGGTAATCCAACATTTACAATGTGTTCTAGTAAGGTTGAAACTGTTTTTGACATTAGGATTTTGGGAAGGTAACAAGCATGCTAACTAGAAACAAATAGTCTGAATTGGGAGATATAATATGATCTTCTACACAACGCTCTGCATAGACAATACTCTATGAAGACAACTCCCGTATTTGCCTATTCAATGAAAAAAGTAGGTTCCAGAAAAGCATACTTGTATACACTTGCAAAACCAAACCAGCCAACCACACACAAAAGGCCTCTTGGGGAATCTTGAAGCGCCACTAATTTGAAACTTTCAGGTTAAGGTCTGTTAAATTGCACAAACTGAACAAACTGGGATAATCCTGACCACTATGATGAGGAAAAAGATGACCCCTTGTTCCCCTCAAATTTCTCTAAATATGAGGCTAGACCCATCATTAAAACAAAATGCATTCTGATTCCGGTTAGCCCAACAACTGGTGAAATTTCTAATGGATATGGGAACGCAAATTTCAATACTAACACAACAGGATGCCAAGAAGCTGGGTATGCCATCCGGATGGCAGAGTGTTAAAGTCACCAGAGTAAAAGGAGCAAGTGTTATTTGCCCAACCATGACAATTAATTTATGGTTCCCAGTCGAGAGATGCATGTTGTCTATTCACTTTGCAGCTACGGATCACTATGAAAATATTTTGGGGTTTGATGTTTTGAACAGCCAAACCTGGCACCTGCCAGACAGCTGTGTGTGGTCCTTCGGTTCAATAGCGGACCCTAACCCTGATGGAAATTGAAAGACTACAGTTCACGTACTCTGCACAACCCCTGTACTCCCCGATTCAAAATACCAATGTCTTGCAATATCCAATTTCTGCTATGACACAAACTGCAATTTCTGAAGTAACAGCAGACTTGCAAAAGCAGTAAGTTATTTCCAAAACCCACTCCCTGTACAATTCACTGGTCTGGCCAGTCAAAAAACTGGATGGGAGATGGCATTTAACAACTGATTATGGATGCTTAAATGGCAACACAGCTCTGCCAACAGCTGCTGTACCCAGTATTGTGACTTTAAGAGCCACTACTACAAGCAGCCGCACACCCATGGATGGCACTGCTAGATGTAGTGGACATGTTCTTTATGGTCCCATTACAGGAGGAGGATAAAAAGAAATTTGTTTTAACTTGGCAAGGTATACAATATACCTTTAACAGACTCCCACAGGAATATAAAACATTCACCCACAATAGCCCATGCTTCACTTGATGGAATTCTTAGTCTCACTCCCTGAAGAAGTAAAACTGTATCAACACATAAATGATGTTCTAATTGGAGGAAATTTCCCTGAAAAAGTGGGAGAAACAGCAGCGTTGCAAGCACTACATAAAGCAGGAATTGGAACCCCACCTGAAAAATGCCAGGGACTGAGCAAAGAAGGGAAATTTCTGGGCACTTGGTGGATTGCGGAAAGCGCAGCAATCCCACCAGATACTCTAAACATAGTAGAACAATTACAGATGCCCCAATCTAGAAAACCGTTACAACAACTAATGGGCACCTTAGTGTACTGGAAAAACACATACTGGGATTCTCCATCATTGCTTGCCCTCTGTACTCATTTTTATGAAAGGGAAAACCATGAGAATGGAATTCAGCACATGAAGAGGGAATCTAAACCCTAATACAAGAACTAAAGACATATCAATCTCTAGGACCTGTCTATCCTCACGACCCTACTACAGTAGAATGGGGTTTCTCAGAACACGGTACTTACTGCAGTCCATTTCAATCTGGTCCTAACAGACCAAAAAGACCTCTACCATTTAGCTCAATTGCATTTAAAGAAACTGAGCAAAGGTATTCCGAGTGGAAAAAGGGTCTTTAGTCTGTGCAATTAAACAAGTTGAGATAATATGCCAAGAGCAACCCATTATGTCTAGAGGTCCATTCTATTTATGAGCCACAATTTTATAGGTGACTGCTCCTCCTTTCCCTTCTTGTATGTTTCCCCACATACATAATATCACCTAATCAAATGAAACTGACGAATTTATAGAGACTAACCTAACACAAAATTTCAATCAAATTATAATTGGATTATGGCACTCTCTGTTTATAGGCATAGAGGCAAGCGACATCCACACTGCCACTCTAGGGATGAGACAAACTGATTCAGTCGCAGGGCTGATTGTGGTGTTACAACCTCCCCTCCTCATCCCAAGTTGCTTAGTACTTGGTGCAATTCCTACCCACCTGGGCCACTGGATAAGTCAGAAACTTAAGTCTGACTGGGTAAATCAGAAACAGTTTGTGAAGGTGGTGAGCCCAAGCACTAAGACACCCCCATTAACATAACCAACTCCCATCTTCCTGCTACTGGAAACAAAGAGCAGTTAATCAGAGTGTTGAGGCACCCCCTTAACATCCGTGGCTCCTGCTTGTCTCATTATTGGAAACAATAATGATAGCCAATCAATGAGGACAGTCAATCACCTCCTCACAGTGTAGCGCACCTGCACCGTGCACTTGCACCTGGGTCAGAGCCCAAAAGGGGATCACACACGCCAGAAAAGAGTGGAAAGTATCAGAATATTTCATCATCCTGAGTTGGGCCGAAGTGCAAAAGTACCTGACAATCCAGGAGAGGGTCTCCCTTAGAGTCACTATTTATAGGGTCTGACACAACTGACGTTTGTCAGGTACTTTTGCAATTAAAAGTACCTTAATTGCTATGAAACACCACCTCTGCCTATAAACAAACAAGAAAATGCTTTTTCTTTGGCTTTACCATTCTTTACCATGGTTTATCATTCTTTAAATACAGTACTCTATGCACATTTTGAAGAAAGTAATAACATCTATACCATCTATGGTTTTGCATCACAAAATTGTATAAGATTGCCTGGCATATTAACTTGACTGCGCAACGTTTCCTGATGTTGACTATGCCCCTAAATCAAGATTAGACACTGGACTGTGAATTTCCAGTAAGCATCTTAGCAAGCAGACATTTACAGCAAAAGTGTAACTACATGCACACGTTTGGGGGCAGGATGGAAAAAATACGTGGGGAAAAGAGGGAAGATGTGGACTTCCATTTATACACACCAAACCATAAGCAGTTTTGGCAGTTTGATACAAGCAATAGCAATTATTACCTACCCCAGAAATGACCAACTTCTGTCTGCTCTTGAATCAAAGACTCATCCAAGACAGTGGATACCATTGATGCATCACTGGCACGGCTATTGAAACTGCTTTGGCTCAAGATGGAAGAGCTGGTCAGATTTTTTCTTGGTGTGTTTCTTTCACCGCCAGATTGTTTAGTGATAGTTCTGCGCTGTCTCACTGTCCTAGGAAGCAAAGCAAAGACAAATAAGACATAGCACTAAAGATGCAAATTTCTGTTAGTCTCTTATTTTATTAAACGAATAAACAGTCAAGGTATTTCAACACTGATGTGACTAGACAGATCAAAACTGGTTTAAAAGAAAATCCTCACCATCAAGCATCTATACTTTAAAAAAGGATTTCACTGCAAACCACATACTGAACGTAATTTTCAAAATATGGCAGTAAACACTGAGAACAAAGAATCAAAGAGTAGGTAACCTATGTTTTTACTATTGTGTGCAAACAGGAAGTCTCAAGACTCCAACCAATAAATTAACTTGTGATGATAAAAATGCTTACCTAGAAGACTCTTCTCTAAAGGACACATTTCCAGAAGAGCTGTCACGAAGGCCATCATTTCCTGCATCATTTGATTTATTAACTGCTGCAGCAGCTAACCGTAAACTACGCCGTGACATTCTCGGTGAATCATATACTGGATCTATTTTGTTTTCAGTCTCAAAATCCAAAGCAGATGAAGAATAACTTGAACTGCAGCAAAATAAGAACAGCAAAGTTACCAGGTTTAAGAGAAAATTCCCCTAGTAAAAAACATGCCCCTCAAGCTACCCTAAGTTTCCATTAAAAGCAGTTTATCCGGGGTTATGAAGTAATTCCCACAAGATATGCCACATAACCCAAATAATTTCAAAGTATGTACATATTCAAGGTTCTCTTAAGCAATGCATATTACAAGTGTAACAACTGAAAGCAAATCACAGTTAGAAAGAAACAACCACCATGGAACCCATGCTTGAAGTTTAGCCAGAGCAAGCATTCATTACGCAGCCTAGATCTTTTGGGACCAGTTTGAGAGACGAAGCTGTTCATGGCTTCTTCACCGCAACTTCTTCACCATGCCTAGCAGCAAATTAAAAATCATGATGCACTCTTAAGTCGCAAGGTAAAGATCTGGTTTTAGTCAAAGCTTTTTTTTTTTTTGTTTAATTATTTTTTGTTCGACAATTCCTTGTTTTGAGGACCAAAGATCCACATGCCACACTACTCTGAATTTCCATCGCCCAAAAAGTAGGAATCTCCCCTCTTTAAGATACTCAAAGACTCCCCTACTTTAGCTACCTTAGTTCAACTACCATTACTTTTTAAAAGTGGTTTTAAAAGATTTCTTCATTTAATGCAAACCATTAGAAATATCTGAACAACAAAGTGTTTAGAGTCTTTAATCCGTTTTTCTCTGGCTTATCCTACAGAGGCAAGTTTACATGTGGATAAGCTTCACATCATTACTCCAGGAACTCCACTCCACACTTTTACACTTGGATGTCCCAGAATTTATATGGAAACTTACAATGAAGACAAAGCAGCAACACAAGGCAAATACAAACAGATCAAACAGAGGATCCAGTAAAGAAATACATTTACTGAAACCTAAGGTTATAGGCACTGCAGGAAAGGGTCTAGTTCCTCCAGCAGCAAATTGTCAATCAGCCCACAGAACCACACCACAGCTTGTCCACAACAACTTCAACTGCCCAGAGGTGCACAGGTTAGATGGTAGTTCTTGCGCAACACCTGCTTGATCTTACTGGTCCACAGTGCAACCCTGTGCAAGGCAGGAGTCTAGCTAAACACACTTTAAGACAAACCCAGCATGTGTTATTATATGCGTTATCATCATTAATCCTTGCTTACATCTGGATGGAAGGGGAGAGAAAATAAGACAGGAATCTCCTCATGTGAAAATGGATTTAGTCTACATTTGGTTAGGTACAAAAGCATACAATTTTTTACAGTTTTCAAAAATATTAAGTTTAGACAGCTTGCATTCTGACAGATGTGAAGTGAGAATAAATAAAGGTCAAATATGGCTCCTCTGGTTGTTCATTCTGAAAGGGGCAGAGCCACAACAGTTTACTATTGAGTCCCTCCCTAAACAGTTGTTTCAGAACTCAGTTTTGCTATTTATACTTGCCACTACACATTTGCTTTTCCTCATCTTCAGCCAGTGTTCCTTACAAATACTCAATTCACAAGAACACAAAGTACACAGGACAAGCTGACAGCTGTGACCAGCCTCAATTTGTTTCTGTTTATGAACACTTGCTGTTATTAAGTACCTCAATGAGCATTTCTATCAATTTGGGTTGAACACATAGCATGGAGTTGGGCTCTACTATCAAAAAAAAAAGAGAAAAAATAATGGGATTTTTTTCCTCTTTAAACAAAAAGACAGCTTCTCTCTTGCTTATGCAGTATAAGAATTCTCTTCACATTGAAGTGATGAGAATTATCCATCCTTTGTCCGCAGGAGATATCTAGAAGTCTCCTAACTTGTCACCTCACTTCCCACACTTTGGAAGGCAGCCCTTTTTTCTTCTACACATAAGACTACAGTAAACAAAAACCCTGCCTTTCTTGTCACAGGACAGAAACAAACCTGTACATTGATGGCACTCTTATCCTATATGTAGGGCTAGCAAAAAAAAAAAACAAAAAAACAAACGTATTAAAGTTGGGATGCAACTAGCCTGCACTCCCAGAAAACCTACACAGACAGGGCAGACTCTGATTCCTTCCCCTGACAAACAGCTCCCATGGCTGCTGGCAGATCTGCTGACTGTATCCAGTCTGACATTTACAGCTTCTTAGCTACTACCTTGATACCTCCATCCCATGAGCTTCTACAGAATAAGAATGTCCTAGACTTCAGTGGGTTAATTTTCAAGTTTATTCATAAGTGGAATGACAAGGTCTGACAATTTTAGCACACCTATAGCTTTGTCTGGAGGACCTTAGGTGTCATTTATTTTATAAATTCCTTGGAATCAAATGGGCAATGTTCTTGATTATTCAACATAGTAATAGATAAATGCAATACACCTAGAGAACTACAGCTAAAGAGACATCTTCCAATACGGACACAGGCACATAATCAGTATATGAGCGTTCTATATGCCTTCTGAGCAGGGCATTACTTAATATTAACTGGCCAAGGACACTACCTTGAGCTGTTTAGTTATTCCTTCAATTAGTCCCAGAACACATGAAAAAAACCAAAGGACTTTTTTCAACTATTTTGTAGAAAGTTACATCCTGATTTAATGTTCTGACACAGGGAAAAAAAAATCAAACAAAATTCTTATCAATTTAATTCATATTTGTGAAGAAAAAGAAGTGTTAAAGGTATCCAAATTGACAAAAACCATGCAACTCAAAAGATGATGGTGACTAAAAGGAGAGATCAGCCTGAAGAGAGAGGTGTAAATTACATGTTGACAAGTGGGTGAGATTCACCAGTTCGACTTGCATTTTGAGGAGGATAAATGTTATTTAGATATATCAGTTTAATGCTTTTCTGATTTGGGCTGGAGGAGTAAAAACACAAAGTAGAAGCACTACAACACTTAGGAACACACAGTAATCCCAGCTGGTATTAATATAAATTCTATTAATAGGTCATAACCAACTCTATTAATAGCTTTGTGGTATCTCACTTTGCTGTATGTCTTTCTACAGTGCTACAGGCACAAGCCAATTTCTTCAAAGAAACTCACATACAGGTTTTGTAAAGATTGAACTGTCAAAGGCTGAACAAGCCAGATCAGAATACAAGCAAAATAAATACAGGTAGGGGGGAAGACCAGAAGGAATGAACTTCAGCATGAAAATATGTCTGATTAGCAACTCTGCCTAACACACCCCTTCCTCAGGTTCTTTAAATACTCCGTGATGGAAGGTAGGAAGAGCTGCATCAATAATACACAGCATTCTACACAGATTCAGCAAGCAGACACACAGCAGAGTCTGCTCAAAAGACTGTACCCTCTTGATGCCCTGAGAGCATGGAGTGTACCAAGTAGTCTTCCCCCATTATTTTGACATTTGGGGCTTCACAGAATTTTTCAAGAGGAAATCTTAAAGAAAGCACAGGTTAATCCTTCCTTTCTACACAAGGAAGAATTACAATGAATCAATTTCACCCTAGTTTAACTATACTTGCCTTCATTAAGTCAGTTAAACTCCAGCTTATCCAGCTCTATCAATTTTTGAATACCTACACCTAATAGTTTAACACAGCAGAACAGGATGCTGAAATGTTTCAAGACACGTAACCGCCACCTCCTACAAAGACCTCTTCATCAGTTCTCAGTTTTGTAAAACAACTTTCTTCACCAAAAGTGGAAATCAAACACTCCAATTGTTGTCTACACAAAACCCAAAGTCATAATGAACTATACTCTAGACTTCAAATAGGATTTATCATTCTGCCTCTTCCTTTCCTGGCAGGTTCATCTTAGCTTCTGTGATATTCTTGTTTGCTTCAGTGAGAAACAAAACTCATATCTGACAAAATAGCGGGCAAGACGAAAAACCCAGCTCAGAAGGGTTTCAATGCCAGATTAGTTTAGGCAAGCCATTGAACTTTACTTTGCTAATACTCTTGGAAACACACATAATAAACCAACAACAATGAAAAAAAGAAAGCAAATCTTAATTTCTTAAGGTAATATTAAGAGCTACTTATTCCCTCTTGTCTGCAAGAAAGATTAGTCCATGTGGAGAAGGTTGTACAGTAGTCCATACTAGTATCATGTCAGACAAATAACAACTAAGGAAATCAAATTAATGACAATTTCACAGCTTGTTTTAAGAAAGATATGCTCACAGACATAAAAATCACTGTCTAAACAATCGGAAGAATCAAAGGCAACTTTCACTGCTCACAATACGGAAAGTTACCTTCTGTGAAAGAGTCAAAATATTTCATCCAATCTTTAAGGTACACTTGCAATGTGGAGCTATCGAAAATTACTCAGTAATGTAATAGTGAATCTTCTTGCTGATATAAGGCACATAAATCATCTTTCATTGTCAGACATGCCTTTTCTTGAAATTAGTAAACCCACCTGTATTTAACCAACATTTTACCAACACTTTTCTAAAAATTCAGGAAGAGTTGCAACTTAATTGATGCAGTATAAAACACACCCCATTTTGCAACACTACTGACATCAAGCAATAGCAAAACAAAACCCCATGATCCCCAACAAAGGCTGATGAAGATACAGTTTGAGAGTACACAAAAGCAAGAATATTCAAGTCAGTGATGTCTTAATTCTACAGTTTTGACAACTTCTGTTTTACTGGCCAGTAGCCAAGTATCTTCCACTTTAAACATTACATTTTAATATACATGAAATGCATAATAATGATTTACAGGCAGAGAACAGAAAAGCAAACTCATACTGCACCCTTATGAACAAGAGGTTTTTAACTAAAAATTAGCTAAACCAATAATTCAGCCTCACTGATGTAAAGTTGCTTCAAAATACATCTAACACAACAGGAAAAACTAGAAAGACTAATCAGCAGCCACAATCTAAGCTATTAATATCAAAACACTAAAATGCACATCACATTTCTTTTGAATACACAATATAAAAACCAGCAAACACACTACAGAGATACTTCCAGAAAACTGAAGTAATTTAAGAAAAACAGTCTAACAATGGTCAGTTTAATAAAAAGATACAAGAAAAAACAAGTTAATTAGAATACAGATTTTACATTCAACACACCAAGCAGTTTTGCTAAGAAAAGTAATCAATATGCATCTTCCAGACAAGTTCTACACTAACAGCAATGAGTGCTTATCAATCAGTGTTTTAAAGTGAAAATGGAGCCAAGTCACAAATGAAAACACACACAGAAGTTGCAAGATGTAACAGAAAACATCTAAGAAATTAGATGAGGTATTTAGAGAAATAAAACAGCAATTGTAACTAGGCGGAGACTAGTTATTCATAGCAACTAATAAACACTGAGTCATTATCTTAGTCATTGTCCTGTTAGTCCAACATGTATTCTTTCCTCCACTTAGGACACAGAAGTTATTTTCAAAACAGACTAGATACAGCATGCTTCTTCAAAGAAGTTGGTTACTTACCACGAGAACTAAACTCTCCAGAATTAACAACAGAGAACATACAGTTTCTCTACAAGAAGAAAAGAGTTCTCACCTGAGTGCATATGTATAGCCAGTGTTCTCTGGCAGACAATGGGGAGGAGTGTACGTGTGTAGACGTGAAAAGTCCATGTTGACTGTTTCAAATCATACTGTAAAAGGTGAAAATAAAGTAATGCAATGACTTAAAATTACATAAAGTCAGTGTAAGAGCCCTTGCATTGTTCAGCCTGTGTTATGAAGTACTGAAATAGAAAAGCAACTTTTACCAGAAATATGGAGCTCTCAGTATTTCAGCAGTATTGCTGCTAATGCTAGATATCTCTTATCATTACTGCATGAAAGTCTCTGTACTTCTGACCACAACTTTCTTTATGATACTCTATTTTAAGCAATTTCCGAGTTCTCTGGAACATCACTGTAATATGAGCCAAGCTCTTAACACAACTGAACTACAACACTTCCACAGGAAGTAAGTTACGCTAGCATCCTCAAAAGCTAAGCATGAAGATCTTTAAAACTACATAGCCATGCTTTCTGAGATCTCTTCACAGTGAGTTTTGCTTTGAAAGCCCATTGATCGAAGCACAGGCTGTTCTGTGCACCAACAAAGCATCACACTGGTGAAACCCGAGAGTTTTTACATACACTCAAGTCATTTCACTCTACAACCTTTGAACACCATCCACTAAGCAGCAAGGGATCTTCCCTCATGTCACATCACATCATAATATTTAATATCAGTTAATGTATTCTTGTCATAAGAACACTGAACACGCACTCTAGCAGAAGAGCCAACTGCAAAATGACTCACATGGCTAGAATTAGGTACATTTTCCAGAGAGCCATCCACTTTCATTAAAAAAAAACCACCAAAAAAACACCACCAAACCCAACCCACACTTGTAAAACTTTCCATGGAGTCCTTGAAAGGTACTACAGCTTTAGGAAGAAAAAACAACTTATGTTGTTGTATCAAGAAACTTGCAGAGCTGCATGGGTGACTGCACGTGGTTATTACATACAATATGACTTTTAAGTTCAAAGTAGTTGCAAAAAATCTTGAGCCCTTCTCAGTTAGCCACAAGAGAAGTTTTGCTTTTCTAGAAAAGATTCTTTGACGGTAGGTTATTTGTGGTTAACAAATAGGGATCTGGCTATCCTGGATTTGCATGGTTAGTAAAGCAGAATCCTGGCTATTTTCAGATTATCTACAGCTCCTGTTTCAGCGGTAGTAAAAGATATTCCACACAACTGTGATGACATGCCTAAACTAAGGTAAAAATATCCCTCACTACACTTTAATCAAAACATCAACAAGTCTCTCATTTTGGGGATGCACTTTGCTATACTGAAATAAGAGTTTTTATTTCTATAGCTACAGATACATAGAGACAAAAAGCACAGAGGCACAGGTACAGGTAATAGCAGCTCAAAAAAAAAAATCTCTCCATGTAACATTAAAATGCTCTTAGTCTACCTGGAGCCTCCCAAACCTGATGTCAATAAGGCAGGTGGGTATTTCCATTACTACTGAAGACAGACTTTCCTTCTTGTTTTGAAAAATCAAAACTTACAGGCCTGAACACTGTAGCTTTCGAAATGCATGCACCTCCTATGCACTTGTGGGGTTCATGAAAAATAAGGTGCCACTTCTGCTATTTACACATCATTTTTTAAATATTATAGAGAAAGCATTTCCTTTAAATGATCTTTCTCTACACTTACTTCACTTGTCCCAGACCCATAATGCTTTCACAGGCTTGCACATAAAACTTGTTGTTTGTTTAGAAGCAGCTTAAATCAGCAGTGCAGAAGTATCAGCAAAGCAGTCTGAATTCTCTTGCTAGAATAAGCAGCATGCTGCTAGAACACGGAATACTTGAACAGTAGGTAACAGCTCATTTTAGAGCATAGGAAATGGGGACCAGAGAGCAATGATTCCCCAGTAACCAAAGTGGAAATACAATGAACTGCAAGATGAGGGATGTTGACAGCATCAGACAGCACTTGCTTTAAAACAACAGCAAAACAGATTTCTCAGACATATTGAAATTTAAATGTATGATTAATTTTCATCTGTTTAAATTGGTCCATCCCAACATAACATAAACCTAGTTTATCACTGGCAACTCAATGGTCAATATCCTGCTTTTGACACCCATCTGTATTTTCCCACACGGAAAGCTAAGCTATGGGAGGGAGTTTCAACTCCTCCCTCTGTCTCTGCTACCCATAGGGGCAGGGCAAAGGTAGACTTTGAAAAAATAACACATTGGCTCAGTTTCTTTCCTGTTCTTTTCCCTTCCCCATCAGTTCTTTCTTTACTTGATTTAGGAATAAATCAAATGCTAGAATTTGCATCATGTTTCTTATTTGGTAAGGTTTGAAATATTAAGTTAGTGTAAGACAAAACATGTACCAACAATGGCATTTGCTAACTGAAAAGCCTTGCTGTGGTGGCCACGCTGGAGGGAAGGGATGCCATCCAGAGGGACCCGGACTGGCTTGAGACATGGGCTCATGCAAACCTCATGAAGTTCAACAAGACCAAGTGCAAGGTCCTGCATATGGGTCAGGGCAATCCCAAGCACAAATACAGGCTGGAAGGAGAATGGATTGAGAGAAGCTCTGAGGAGAAGGATTTGGGGGTGTTGGTTGATGAGAAGCTCACCGTGAGCCAGCAGTGCATGCTTGCAGCCCAGAAAGCCAACTGCGTCCTGGGCTGCATCAACAGAAGCGTGACCAGCAAGTTGAGGGAGGCGATTCTCCCCCCCTACTCCACTCTCTTGAGACCCCACTTGCAGTGCTGCATCCAGCTCTGGAGTCCTCAGCAAGCACAGGAAAGACATGGACTTGTTCGAACAAGTCCAGAGGAGGCCACGAAAACGATCAGAGGGCTGAAACACCTCCCATACGACGGCAGGCTGAGAGGGTTGGGTTCAGCCTGGAGAAGAGAAGGCTCCGGGGAGACCTCAGAGCAGCTTCCAGTGCTGAAAGGGGGCTACAGGAGAGATGGCGAGGGACTCTTCATCAGGGAGGGCAGTGATAGGACATGGGGTAATGGTTTTAAGCTGAAAGAGGGGAGACTTAGAGGAGATATTAGGAAGAAATGTTTTTCTGTGAGGGTTGTGAGGCAGTGGCCCAGGTTGCCCAGAGAAGCTGTGGATGCCCCATCCCTGGAGGGGTTCAAGGCCAGGCTGGATGAGGCTTTGAGCAACCTGGGCTAGTGGGAGGTGTCCCTGCCCATGGCAGGGGGGGTCGAACTAGATCTTCAAGGTCCCTTCCAACCATTCTATGATTGATGTGTAGGTCTATTAATAGGTGGTTTTCATAGCACTGAGATCTCAAAAAAAAGATAACAGGTTTGCCATCTGAACACCACAGAGTTAGAAACCACTATTAGAAGATTCAGGGGCTTAGTTTGATTCACTGTTTGTCTGATACTCTAAAACTAATTCAGACTCAAAGGGAAGCACCTTTACTCAATTTTTCAAAGCAACAGAACAGGCTTAACTGACTTAAACAAAACTTGAAGATAATCTTCAGAGACAACCACAATTTGCAAAAACAGGCATCTAAAATTTACTATGAAATTGCATTTAAAAAAAAACCTGGCACATAGCTCAACAGGCTCACTAGTTATCCATTTTTTCAAAACAGAAACCTAAAAAAACCCAATCAACCCAATTTATCTAGAAATATTCTACATACTTATTACAGTAGAACTTTAAGCTACAGAACAGACCAGGGGGGAGGGTGTGTGTGGAGGACAACAACTCCCTCTAATTTGTTCACTCATGTTTAACAGCACTGCACCTTTCATATATTAACTCTTTTTATGAAACTTTCGTACACAAGTGGAACAGAAAGAGACATACTAATAAAATATTCTGGAAATTTAAAACCACAAAACTTGGCAAAGAACCTGAGAGGCAGACACAGTACTTAGTTCCAGTTTAAACACTTATGGGTGCCCAGCAGATTTCTGATTTAGGTGTCATAGATCTATCTGGACTCGGATTCATGCAGGCTTTTAGTATCAGCCTTGCTGCAAGCATTACTAGGCCCAAACTTTAAGTAGTCTTTTTTCCTTTTTCAGAAGCCCATAAACATCTATTTGTAAGTACCAAGGGATGTACAGTGAAAGAACTAAGCATGTAGTTACATAAAAAACCCCAAGTAATATGAATACATTTATAAGACAACCTAAAGGCAACTAAAGAGAAGCACACATTTCAGCTAGAATGCAAGCGGACACTAGATGTTCCTCAACTTACAAGCTAACTTCCATGTTGCTGCACAGGAGAAAGCTGGATTATTTGCTTTTTTGGGGAAGCAAACAACAACAATCATCTCAAGTATCATCTCTTCCTTACAATTCAACTGAATCAGTGTTACATTATTGTAACACTGTACACTATCAACAGACTAGAAGGGTAAGAGAAGACATAGATTCTGACTTGACCAGAACACACAGAAGCACAGGGAGTCCTGTAACCAATGCAGCAGAGTTCACCTTCACACAAAGCCCCTTGGCTGTCTCCAGAGGATGTGAGCTGTACAGCATCGGAGTGACATGAGGCCAGACCACTACCTCAAAAGCCCATTTATCTGAAAATGACTTTCAGAGTCATCCAGACTCAAGAAAACCCTAGTACTGCTGGAGCAAATTCCCTGGCTTTCATTGAAGGTGATGAGATGCTCCAATAGGGGCCTTTAAGCACAGAAGCATCACAAGCGAGGAGGCAGCACCAAATACACTTTGTATATACACCACAAGCACCTAGCAAGGACAAGGATGAACCCCCACTTAGGTCTTTTGAGGTACATAAATAGACGTCTACAAACATACTATCTAGGCATTTCTCCACAAACACTCTGTGACAGAGGAAGTGGTAAATTGCCATTTCACCCTGGCATAGTAGAAATATTCACTAGGAAGTCTGTTATAGAATAAGAAAATTTAAAAGAAAGCATGTCTTATTCTTCACATTACAAGGGGTAAAAAACCTATACATTTAAAGTCTTAGAGAGATGTTGGTAGCACTACTTCAAGGAGAACCTATTCTATCCTTATGTTTTAAAGTAAACAAACTAAGTTTAAGTCATTATAATTTAACATACTAATGCCACAAAAGCTGAACAGA